TTTGTATGCTAGGCTGTTCTGCCCGGGCAGCATGACAACTCATGAGTTTGCACACCACAGGGAATAGCACAGCTGCTCAGTGGTTAAGGCCAAAAGGAGTACGAGTTCTCCACTTCTATGCTGTTTGCATGCTGGGTATCATTCTCTTCCTACTGCTTGGTTTTGATTTCCCTTTTCCTGCTCTCTCCCCTTGTTGTGCACAGAAGAATCAACTTACCATTCTAGATGTATACCAAACATGCATACAATTCTTGTCATAGGACCATGCGACAGCTGATAGCGCATAAATTTTGCATGTCAGTATCTTGATACCACAAATGTCTTTAGAAAACCTTCTTTAGTTCTTTGGAAGATAATCACACTGCTGGTTCATCTGAAGTCCATCTGCTTTGCTGCATGTTAAAGATCTCCGCTGCTGTAACTGGGATGCTATGCTAGATTTCCTATTTGTTCAGGCCTTCACAACACTGTTTACCTACAGATGCAGCATACCAGAGGGTATTGTGTTCCCTTGCTACCTGTAAATACTTGTTAAACCTCTTGACAATCCTGAAATAACATCCTATGTGGTGATGGCCCTCATGAGAGACCCTATTGATACAAATAGTATTAGTGGCTATACTTTTTATTTTTTTACATGGAAAAAGTCAATTTTGCAAAGGTAGAAGCTCTGGCTGTTCTGTAATAACATTTGATGAAACCCAATTTCTTTTTTTTTCTTTTTTTTTTTGAGAGAGAGAGCTCCATAGATCACTAAAATAGACAAATGAAATATAAATACCTAAGCTAGAAGGACTGATAAGAGTTGGAAAAATTCCAGGTTATTCCACAGGTCATGCTTCGTAATTTCAGGGTTCATTATAAGCAGTAACTTAAACTGGTCTAAATCTGTAAGCCAGTCGCAATCAGTTGAAATACAAGTTGGAAGATTTTGGTATCATAGATAAAACTTAAACATATATTCACTGAAATAGAAGTGAGAGGAGGAACTACTACTGAAGGACAATCACTGAAAGACAGCAAAAGGAAAAGGAAAACCAAAAAGCTCCAGGGAATTGGAACATGCTGGTAATATCTTGGAAGCGAGTGAAATAGAGCTTGATCTATACAAGCGTGCAGTTAGACTCAAGGAGAAATTGTATTTCATCTTAGCTTACAATGTCTTAAGTAATATATTATTTTTGTCCTGGTGGAGAAACAGTGAAATCATTTGAGGAATACTTTATGGCTGAGAGGTGGAATTTCTGAAGGGTGCAGTTGTTACGACAGAATTTTTGGAGACATATGTTCATCTTGATTGTAACTGGGGCCTTAGATTAAAAATGGATGATTGTGTGTTCAGAGACTTGATGTCTGGATTGTCAGTCTACAGAAGTGACTTGGTAGCCTGAAAATATTAAAGGAAAATGCAGTTTGGGTAAAGGGACTTGAATGGGAGAACAGCAAGAAGCGTGCTACGCGTCTTGGGCCTTTAATGGATTGTGAGGAGCAGGGTATTTTTTTCCTTCTGCCGTCTTCTGGAGTATCAACAATCACTTGAACAAAGCTGGCAGGAAATATCCCTGTGCGATTCCCACATTTTCCTCTGTACTGCTTGTGTGGATGCTTGGAAGAGGCTGCAGAACCAGATGGAAGTTTTTGTGAATGGTGAAGAGAAAGACAAAATGTGGGAAAATGCGCTCTTCCTAAGACAGCCTGGTTGAGAACAAAAATTGCAGTGCAGGAGGCTGTTGGTGTCCTGCAAAGCTTTATTTGTAGAACTGAATAGTGTTTAGTGGTATTGAAGAGATGTAAAGAGGCTAAGACTAAAATGGTAAACTGGATGCTGAGAGTAAATAGTGTATTTTAAAGGAAGGAAAAACTTAGTTTTCTACAGTACCTAGTTGAACTCTTCATAATGGCTGTGTTTATCTTGAGTTTTTGAGCCTGCCTTGGGCATTACTGCTTCACAAAGACATCTGATGCAGTGGCAGTGAGGGTAACGCGAGGGCAAGTACACCCCAGGTCCTTCCCATTGGGCCCATGATTCTGACTTTGGGAAGGTGAATTGATGCAAAAGCTGTTGAATATGAAGATGGAATGCTTTCTAGGTAGGGAAGGATCATCCTGAAATATTTCGAAGAAAACTCTTGTCTTATGTATTTAGCTTTATGTAAATGTTTTGGGGTCACTGCAAATAATGTAGCCGATGTTTCGATGTAGAAACATGGCTTGTCTTCGATATATGAAGGATCCCTGCGTTTGTTAAAACCTTAAAAGGCACGTCTAATAGTTGTGTTGACAATAGGTGAATTATGAAAGACTGTATGAATGTGTGGAACTTGTCCAAAGAATAGATGAAGGCTAAGGAAAAAAATAGAGCACTTTGGAAACTAATTCTTTGGAACACGCCTTACCCCCAGGTGTCTTAGAAGATGATTTTTGGACTGCTAACATCATTAGTCTGAAGCTGATTATTTCCTATGTCCATAGTCAGTTCCCAGATGAAGAAGTGGAATATTTTTTCAATGAAAGGTGTTCAACTTCTTAAAAATTTAATAACTTTGACTTGCGGATACTAAGCGAAGTGCATAGGCACATATATATATCAGAGAGAAAAATACATTCTGACATAACTTTAATAAAAAGCTTTGAATAGAAGTGTGATAGCACTTGCTGTATCAGTATTTGCAAAAGCCCAGGCCTTTTAAGCTCGTCCCAAGTGATTTGGGTGATGCTGAAAAATGAGATTTAATGGTAGCACTGTGGAATCTGCTACAGTTTCATACTCATCTAACCTTTTAATGTGTAGAATGCTTCTGGTGAATGGCTTTTTCCCTTCAAAATGTGGAGCTGGAACCTCTGATTTGTTTCCTGAGATGATCAAAGTAAAGCCTCTGAAGCCTGGAAATTCAGTTTACACCTGTTGACAACCCTTTGAAAGGGTAGATAATAGCAGGACAAAGGGCAAATGGTTTTAAGTTGAAGGAGGGAAGATTTAGGTTAGGTATGAAGGGGAAGTTTTTTTACTATGAGAGCGGTGAGGTGCTGGAACAGGCTGCCCAGAGAGGTTATGGATGCCCGGTCCGTGGAGGTGTTGAAAGCCAGGTTGGATGGGCTCTGGGCAGCCTGGTCTGGTATTAAATGGGGAGGTTGGTGGCCCTGCCTGCAGCAGGGGGGTTGGAGATTCATGATCCTTGAGGTCCCTTCCAACCCTGGCCATTCTACAATTTCTGACAGGATGTGCTTTCCTAGGTTGCAGTAAGTTTGAAAAATAAACTATAAAAAACAGAAAGCAACTGGTATTGCTTTCTGAGAAACTGCGTGTGAAGGCAAAGTCCCTGAAACTCCATTGGAAACTGAAGGCATTCAAGAACCATACAGCACCAGCAACCGTGGGATAGGCTGACATGACGTATACCATTGTAACTTTTATGTTTTCTTAATGGCATCATAAAATACTTGTTTTCAGGAGTGGAGGGGTGTTGGTAACATGCTCGACTTCTTGAAAAAGCAACAGAGAATTAGAAGAATGTCTTGGACATGGGCTATTAAGAAGAGAAGCAGTTTTGAACATGTAGATTCATTGCTACTTGCAGTTAAAGCAAACTTTCGTGATGTTCTGTTTGGTGTAACGCAGTCATGACACAAAACTTATGTAAACAAGATGAACTTGTGGATAGTGCTATTTTTTTCTGGTATATAATATGCTTACTTAACAAGCAGACTGGTATGGGTTCACTTTGTGAACTCTTGACACACTTACTGCTTGCTATTTAAATGTGAAATACTGTTCTGGGGATGCTTGGCACTTATTAACAGTATCACAAGCATTTCTTGTAAAACACATCATGAATGCATTACAGAGCTTAGCTCAAAGCGTGGATGTGACTAATGGTAAGTACTTCTGTCTGTCAGGGCAGACCCATGCACAAACAGCAGTTGTTCCTGTGACTGAAGGATGTAAAATATTTCCACTCCTGTTGTGCCAGTACTCAGTTATTCCCTACCACTGTAACTCATAGGTGAGCATAAATTCACCATGCTATCACAGAATGGCAGAGTTGGAAGAGACCTCAAAGATCATGAATTTCCAACCCCCCTGCCACAGGCAGGGCCACCAACCTCCCCATTTAATACCAGACCAGGCTGCCCAGGGCCCCATCCAACCTGGCCTTGAACACCTCCAGGTATGGGGCATTCACAGCCTCTCTGGGCAGCCTTTTCCAGCACCTCACCACTCTCTCTGTAAAGAACTTGAACTAGTTCTGCTAGTAAATCTTTTAAGTGCTCGTAGCAGTTATTTAAGCTGTTTGAGGATGTAGGTTTGTGTTATATCAAAGCTAGCCTATTTGCATTTATCTTGTGAGAGTATTGTCGTGACAGTGGTCCTACAATGAAATACATCAGACTATTTTTATTGTTTTTTTTAGTTGAGGTTTGTTTATTAGTCCATAAGCAGGCTTTCTGTGCATTTGAGCAAGTACTGGTGCAATGGAAGTGCAGAAAAGTGGTTGGAGAGGAAGGTTATACTTCACCAGAGTGTATCTGTAGAATGATGCAGCCGTGTTCTAAAAATCATGCATGTGGTTTTCACTTAACATTTTAAACTAGTGTCACTTGGCTTTCCTTCAGAAAGATCTTAACTTCTGTGTTCCTTGCTGTTAATTCCTGCTCCACCTCTCATGTCATTGTGGATTTTAGCTCTGCTTATACTCATGTGGGTTAAATTAATTATTATTTTAAAAGATTGACTGTTCTAGGCTAGTTCACACCTGATGGATGAAGAGCCTGAAATATCAAACTTTACATCTTTAGGAGGAACATCAGTCATCATCACATGCACACAAAATTTCCACATAGATTTGTTCTTTAAAAAAATAAATTTATTCACTCTTAGGGATTGATGGAGGAGCAGGGCACCAATAACAGCAAACATATCCCAATATTTTTGTTAAGAATATTAACTATTCTGTGGTGTTCTGGTTTTGTTGGAATAATTTGAGTTTGTTTATTTGTAGGTTTTCACTGCTGCTGCTTAACCTGGAAGAATATTACTTTGAACAACACAGAGCTAGTCATATCATAAATAAAGGTTGCAGAGATGAAAGGTACAGAAGTTTTACATTCCCTCATTTACAGGAGTTATTCTAGTCTAACCTATCTGCAAGATATACATAACTACTTCTTTATTTATTGTTTCCTTTAGGAAAATAAGAGGTTCCCTAAAAATCTGCTCAAAGTCAATCATTTTTGAACCTGATGAGAATCTGCAACCCATTATCAAGGTAAGCAGTGCAACAGGGGTGTATGTTTAGGTGGATGGTTGGACTGGATGATCTTGTAGGCATTTTCCAATCTTGGTGATTCTGTAACTGCAACTTCTTGGGAAAGTAAGATTGCTTTTAAGGAGCACACATCTGTGAATGTTTTTGTAACTTGCCACAGATACCGTTGAGAGACTGCATTAGTATAAAAGCACCAGAAGACAATGAAGCAAAAAATCCATTCTTACGGTATGTGAATTTGATTTACTGTATATATGCATTTGACTTTTTTCTTTTTTTTTTTTTTTTTAAAGCTGAAATGTCCATCTCTAAGTATCTTACTTACATTCTAGGGAGATATCTGGAGGGATTTCTGTTGTGTGTAATCAGGTAAGAGCTGCGTATAATGGATTTTCATTGTATAAATGTGAGAGGTTATGTTCCTTAATGGTGTTTCTCAGAGCTGGAATTCTAGGATGAGGTTCTGGAAGCAAAACTTAGCATTAACATGAAGCTGTTGATGCTGGAAACTTTAAACTATTAGTGGCTCTATTAATGGGACTTTGATTAAAGGGAATTTGCTGCGCTGTACATGTTACAGTAGAACTTAAGACAATCTTAAAATTGAGTAAAAGAGAGTAGACTTAATTCATCATCTTTGTTTTGGTCTTGCTACAGTTGTATATCATTTTCTTCCTTCTGTAGCATGTATTGATAATGGCAAAGCCATCTGAATTCTTAAAGTTCAGTGGACTATGTTTTCGTAAACTGTCCACCAAATGATTTTCAGTAGCTATTCTGAGTCATGGATTCAGGTTTCAGCTGTGGGTTATGATCTACTTGAACTTGTTTGTATTTACTAAAGACCAATGTACTGTACTTCAAACTTTGATTAATTGGAGCTGGTAAGTGTTCCCGTGCTTCAAAAAAAGTTCACGTTTTCATTTCAGGAAATAACTGAAATGAGGTGGGAAATACTTTCTTAAACTTTGTAGCAAATTCGTAAAATTTCTTTTTAAAGAGCGCTGAATTGAGTAGCCTTGCTCAGTTCAGTACTGTGGCAGTCAAAAAGGAATTCAAGCATGTAATTTAATTTGCACTAGAAAAGTTCATGGCCTGTGTTAAAGTAATCAGTACACTTAATTACATCTTGAAACTACTTCTCAGAGTTCTGTGTAGTTAAGACTCATTGTATTCATGGTTTTTTAATGTATTCAATGGTTTCATTCTTTTTAAGGTATTTCTGATTATTCTGTGTAAACTTCCAGGTGGTAAAGGGGGAAAAAAAAATATCTGAAGTATTGTCTATAATGTCATTGCCATTTTTATTACCCGTTCCTCTATCATACAATATTCATATATATTCTGCAGAACAGGTGAGTATAGAAACATTACAAAGGAAAAAAAAAATTAGCTTTTAGAACAGCAAACATTGTTAGCCCCACTGTGTGGAGTGTCAGTCATCCTCCTGTCACTGGGGAAGTGCTCTGAAATGTTTTGATGGAATGACATATGCTTGTATTTTTGTATGAAAGTGTGTCAGGTATGAAGTACCCACAGGTTGTATCCATGATAAATTATGACCTAATTATGAATATTTCTTCTGAGTGCAATTTCTGTCTTATAGGAAAGTGCACATATTGAATAATCAGATCATCTTAAACATGCTTGCCTTTTTTTTAGGCTCAAAATAGTATTAATCCATAGCTGGACAGGAAGCTTTGCTCTGTGTAACAAGTAACTTAAAGACTAATGGCTATACGATACAGTAAATAGAAATAATTTGGGATTATATAAACTTATTTTTCAGTAATTTTTCTCAAGGTAGTGTTGGAGATCTGCCGTACAAAATAGGTAACTAATACAACATGGCAACTTTTTTGCTCTGCTTCTGTATGTATTTTGATGTGTACTGTCTACTTTTCCCATGTAATTTGGAATTGGGGTGTCTCAGAGTGGAAGAGCCTTTAATTATTGTACAAGAAGTAAGAGCTAAGCATAAAGCGCGCGGCTTTTACTGGGTTGACTTTCTTTTGCTCTAATGTAGGTCTGTAAAAGCAAACATCAGATTAAAGGAGCTAGCTGTTATTTAAAGTAGCACTAACAGAGGCACACTGGTCATACCATTTAATTTCGTCTGGCATATCGGTGCTGTGAGTTGCCCTGTGGCAAAGACCAGCTCTCCTGCTTGTGGGTCTACAATAGTTCAGGCTGATGCTATCCACTCTCTTTACCATCATTTGCCAGGCCAAACCATATAACTTGCTTTTGCCTTCTTTGCTTGCCTCTGGAGGCAGACCCACAGGCCTGGTGCTTGCTGTAGGAAGCAAACCAAGGCACTGGGCCTAAGCAAACCATGTGTCTGGAGTGTGTGGGTGTCTGGTGTTTGAGAAGACCATTGGAGAAGGCAGGTATCTAAGGCATGGAGCAGGAAACAGTTGGTCATGCAGTCTAGTGTGTTTTGTGGAGCTCATACCCATTTAGGATCCTACCCAGGTCTGAGATTTTAGCTCTTTTGATTTGATTTGAGCCTTTCCTATAGACAGAGTGGAACATGACTCATTTTTTGGCTTTGACATCTTTCAGATGATAAATGATAAGGTGATAATCTACAAACCAGTGTGACAACAGTTAAGCCTTTCTGTAGGGGCTATGAAGGGAAGAGTTTTCATATGGTTTTTTTGTTGGTTTTAGTGGCTTTTTTTGAGTGGAGGATCCTCTCCAGGTCTGGGAGTAGCATCAAAGAAACAAAACTGATCATAAGTAAGCTGTAGGGTGAGAAAGGAAATGACATTCATAATTGTTGGAACCGGAAGCAAAATGTTTGGCACAGAAAGAGCTCATTTGAGAGGGCTCGTGCAGCAGTCATGGAGTGAGGCCCTCTGTGAGAAGGGACATTCCCTTCAGAGCAGAACCCTAGGGGATAAGCTGCCAGAAAAAAAGCAGGCAGAAATATTCTGTTGAATGGGGTTAGGCTGGTGGCTGTGCTTACTGCTTTCCATCTTACAGCTTCTTGAAGGTCATGTGATGGGAATAAAAACTCGCTAATTGACTGTCAAAGTAAGCCTGTGAAATGCACTGAACACTCATCCCTTTCACAGCAGCTACAAAAGGTCATTGTTTTTTTTGCTGTTCATCTAGGGTAGCTAAAGCAGGATGTTGCAACCTAGTATTTTGGTTGCTTAAGCAGTGTTCTTAGCTTTGTATTTATCAGGACTTACATTTATTATTGATGGCTGGGGGGAGAGGTGGTGTTTTGTTTGGTTTTTTTTTTTGGTGGGTGATTGCTTATTAGTTTGTTTTTGGACAAAAGCCATAACAGTCTCTTGTTCTTTCAGGTTTTTCTCATTAAAGAAAGGAATGTTATTGCACCCTACAAAACAATAAGAGTAAGTGCACAGTTTTTCATTATTCTTAGCAAATTGATATTTTGTAGAGACCAATGCTTTCTATTATGAAAGAGTAAGATAACTCTAATTGGAGCAATATGACAATAAAACTTCAAAAAAACAAATAATTGTGCATATTAGATAGAACTAGTGTCTTAATTTTTCCATAATGCATATGTGATATTTATTGGAATACGTGCTGCAGACTTGTCTCTTGCTAATTGCCTCAGCGTGCAGCTCTATGGGCTCAACAATCAGACAGACAACTGTCCGCTCATATTCAGTGGGCACTGTTTCTCCTCAGTTTTATGTTTTCCAGCTGAATGGGTCACAGTTCAAAGAAATTGCAGGTTAAGTTTGCTCACATCAGAATCTAGAGCTTGCTTCTGTTGCTTTCTACTCAAATTATTGAGTTTGAAGTCTGCAAGGTAAACAATTGAGTGGTTTTCAGCTGAAATGTGAGGTAGATGAAGATACAAACACAAAATGGAAAAATGAGAGTCTTATAAACATCCTTTCTGCCTCAACCTTTTTCCACAGTTTAGAAATGAGCAGGCAGTTAAATTTGTTGCCATATTTCTTCAATTAAAAGGTTTCAAGAATGATCAAGTCAGTAAACTTATGTTGCTACTATGAACAGGAAAGACGATTAGTAGATGATGTCTGAATTATTCTCAACAACTACTTCAGGTTGTTTTGGTGGTGTTTCTAAACTATGATTTTGAATTATATTTTTATTTTCCTTGTTTACTTAATGTCACTAATTCTTTATGCAAAACCTCATTTCTGTTCTCTTGTATTCTCTGTTTTGCTTCCAAGTGCAAGATTTATTAACTATCGCATAACTATCAATAGCATTATTGACACAGGGGAAAAAGAAAATAATTGGAAGAACTGTTTGGAAACTTCTCCATTTTAGTTTTTCTGAAGTCAAGATACTTAAATAATTCCTAATAGTTAACCATTACAGCTTCCTTCACGAAAGTGCTGTTATGTTTCTTCATAGCAAAACAAGAAGTCTAGTTTGCCTTCAGCCACTTACGAGTATTTCTTTGCTGCTGCTAGGTATACTTGAATCACTGCCTGTTCCAGGTGGTTCATTGGGTGCTAGAATCTGGTAGTATGATTTTGCTTCCATGTCTTCAATTGATTTCGTTTATTTATTTGTTTATTTTTGGAGATCTATTACAAAACACCAAGTCTTTCCAGGCTGTAGAGCTAGACACAGAACTGCTTTCCACAGGTTTTACCCTATAGGCCATAAGTGACCGTTGAAGACCATCCACTAGGGAATGAGAGCCAGGTTTCTCCTGTTAAACGAAAAACGTGTAGTCAGTGAAATGTTACTGAGGCTTTTATCCAAATTGCTGTTGAACTTCTTGTCTCTCATTAATCTAGCACAGTTTGCTTTCTGAACCATGCTTTGCTCTTGGGTTGCTGTCAGTTCAGCTCTGACTGCATAAATTATGCTAACGGTCATCTAGAGTTTCATTTTTTCTTAGGTTGTTCATAGTTACATCCACATTGATCAATGTCTTGAAGTAGACTTACTGGTCACTGTTCTGGAAGTCTAACTTAAGAAATCACAGAACCCCACAGAATTGTCAGTGCAGTTTTATACTATGCTCAGGGATTTTCAAGGGATCCCAACCACCTCCACTGTAGACGAGTTGTGTGTAAGGGTTACTATCAGCTGATCCATACACATTTTTAGCAGATTTAAGTCAAAACCAGAAATATTTTGAAATTACACTTCAGAGAGCTGCTTGTTAGTGGCAAGGAGGTTGGAACTAGGTGTTCTTTAAGGTCCCTTCCAATATAAGCCTTCCTGTGATTATACGCTTTGCTTGTGTATGTGATGTTAAACTAGTTGGAGCATGTATTAGTTCTAGACTTGGAGATGTTGTTGCTACATTAAATGGAGTGCTTCGAAGCTGTTATGTTGTATTATATTAAGAATACCAAGGACTGCACAAGGAAGTTACCACAGGGAAGTTAGATTTATAAAGATGAAAAAACACAACAGGTCTTTCAAATGTATACTGCAACCTATGGAAACATACTTTGACAAAGTTTACTTTTAATTAAAAATTTTTTTCACTGTACTGTATTTTAAACTATTTTTGTGGTAAATATGCTTTCAATTTTAGGGCAAAACAGAACACCTATTCCAATTGGATGTAGCTGGGAAACTAGGAGATGTTGTGCAAACTCTACATCAGGTATGTAGTTATCACTACGCACTTCTCCACATCATCTTTTTTGATATTTAATGGGAAGCTTCCTTTAAGTATTTCTAAAGGTGAAATTCTTGGAGTATCTAGTTTTGAAAATGCCACAGTTGAGTATACCTTCTAGTTCTAAAGTCAGTTGTAAGCTACTCTCATTAGCTATGCAAGATAATCATATATAGACAAATTACTTGACAATAAACACGAGTGAATGTGTTAACTTTAAAGAGAAATAATAATAGCTCTTCTAGTACTCTTTTAGTCAACAAGAATGCTAAGGCCCTCCACGTTGCTGTAGACTTTCAAACTGTGTGAGACATCAGTGCTATTTCACTTAGTTCACTGTCCTTTAGCTCTACAGGGCTTCTTGTCTAGATAAGATGGGAGATCAAGCTGCCATGGTAAGTGATTATTTCAGAATATTACTGTTTCTAATGAAATTCTAATTGCATTTCAATCATAAACCATGTTATTTTTTCTTTCATATTAGATAACTGCTATACTGCAATCCCGTTTGGCTAGAACTTCATTTGATAAAAACAGGTATCTTTCTAATAACTTGTGGGAAAATGTTTTTTATCTGTTGGTTATTTAGTCTACAGCTCCATTACATAGTAGGTGCTTCTTTGAGCAGCACAAGCACAAATTGCAGATTTATCTTTTTAACATTCTGAAAAACTTGGTATGGAGAATAGGACGTTCTGTGAAGGTGTATGTGTTACTTTTTTTTCATTTTTTCCTCTTCAGACTCTTCTGTTTATCCATGAATTTCTTCCAAGTTAGGTATCAGTAAATGCCAAATAAAGCAGTGTATAACATAATTTAAGTAGTGATGGGTTACTGTTCTGAGAATGAAGCAGAACATATGACTTTCCTTTCTGGACTGCCAGTTAGAGTTCTCAACAAAGAACCTTCTTCATGCCTAAGGCATCCCTGTTCAGATGTGCCAAAGCTATAAACTAACCTGAAGAATTTAAGGATAGCTCTGCATATGTAAGAACCAGAGGTAAACTTACTCCCTTTCTTCACTTGTAGATTTCAAAGCATTTCTGAAACGCTGCGTATGGAATGTAAAGCAGAAATGGTGACACCACTGGTGACTAATCCAGGGCATGTGTGTGTTACTGATGCTAACTTGTACTTCCAGCCTCTTAATGGATATCCTGTAAGTGCCTCATAGATGGTCTTGCGTATGGTGTGAGCACACTGCTCCTCTATGGACAGTTTCCATTTTTTGTATTATTCCTTTTAAATGCATGTGGGGCACATCTCCAAGAAGACTGTTTTCATTTCTGGTAAAAGGTCCTTAGTTTTCTTGTAATTTATGCTGCTTTGTTATATTCAGTACTCTGAGGTTTTATTCTGAGCTGACTTTCTTACAATTGACAAAGCACAAAGTATCCTTTGCTTGTTCTCCGTTAATATTTTTAAAAATAACTGTTGGTAGCATATAATTTGAGACATGTTTCTGATCTTGCTCTGTGGTGCTGCTCCTGTCTGGTGCGAGTTTTCATTCACTTTGTATGAGCTAGGAAGTTTGTAGCTAGGTTTTCTATAAATCTGGACGTTTCTTTCCCTAATGGAAAATGGAGTGCATATCACAGTCATACAGCTGCTTTGGAACTTTGTCACAGAAATAGCAGCAGTAGTCCTATCAGGCCTCTAAGATACGAAAAACTTGTCCTGAGAAGTAAAATCTGCTTTTAGGTTATTATGATGGCTTATTATGACAGAATGCCATTCAATTTCTGTCCATCAGATGGCACCATCAGCAAATGTTACGCCCACTAACCTGATGGCTTCCTTATTTTTAATATAATTCTGTTCTGCTCATCTTTTGCTTGATTATTCTAACTGGCCATAAATTTGGTTGATGATACAGTGTTATTTAGTCATAACCTGCTTTTCTGCTCAGACAAGAAGCTACAGCAAAGATTGACTTATTTTTGAAGTAGCTGCTTAAAACCACTGTTGGGCTGCTAACATGATATGGGAGGATATAGCTTTTGTATTGCCAAGTGTCTCTAGTTCAGAAAAACTTCAGGTTAAGGTAGAAGAACATATATCTCCATCTTTTCTCTTCCATCCTTCTGCCCCATTTCCCCCTGCAGAAACCAGTAGTACAAATAACACTGCAGAATGTACGCCGCATCTATAAAAGAAGACATGGTCTAATGCCACTGGTAAGCTCAAATACTGTGTATGTAATTTCTTAAATGGATCAGTTGAAATTGTACACGTTGTTAGGCAGAGGTAATTTTAAAAACTATGGATTATATAGTGAACAGCACCCAACACTTCCTAGTTTTGAAGTGTTTTTGTTCCCTGTGTTGTCAAAAAGATGAAAACAGAAAAAGTGAATTCTGTCAAGGATGAAAAACTTCCTTCATAAGCAGTTCATGTAGGGGAGGAGAGAAGGGAGTACTTTCAGGAAGCAGTTTTTTCTATTTATCTCAAACACCTACCTTGGAATAGAATGAATTGCCTTCCCTTGGTGTGCTTTCTCCTTGGATTGATTCATGGAGGGAGTCTGATCACTAATGTAGATTGAAACTGATATGGAGTGAAGAACCCTGCTGTATGTGATTGAGGGATGATGACAGTGCTGCAGTGTGTGCTTCCTCAGTACCTCAGTTCTGTGCTTCCAGTGTTTACACTGAAATTTCAGACTTGAACAAAACTTTTCTCTCAAAACACATTTAAACTAAAAAACAAACAAACAACAACAACAAAAACATTACCTGCCCTTAAACAAGCCTAGGTAGAGACTGTCTGTGAACAGCTGTTAATCTTTTCACTTGATTGGGTATCAATGGAATATTTTTATGGTTGGAAGTAGGAGAGATGAAAATGTTAGACTTGTATGCAAAACTATGACCAGTGCTGAGTTTTAGACATTAGTAACTAGAATATTCTGTAAAAGCATGAATGTTATAGCTTGTTAGTAACTGCTTTCAATTTACTTTTTCTCCCTCTTTAATTTCTAAGGGACTCGAAGTATTTTGCTCAGAAAATGATATATGTTCTGACATCTACTTGAAATTCTACAACTGTCAAGATCGAGATGAGCTCTATTACCTTATTGCAGCATATATAGGTTTGCAGCATTTAATTTATTAATTTAGTTTGTAGTTCTTTGCAAGGAGAAATTTGTCTGGATTTTTCTCTCTTGATTTGTGGGAAGAATTAAAAGATGTATTAGCCATAAGAATTCTTAATGGAAGAAAGCAAAATTCAAAATGGACATTGAAAAGTTGCATGTTTTGTTTGTATTTGAAGGGCTGAGTATGGAAGTTGAGATAACATTAAAGTGAAACTGATTGTTTTGATCTGCAACTTAATATGTACCTTCAAAAAAAAAAAAAAAAAGGCTATCTTGAACAGAAAAGAGTATATGAATATATAAGATTGATTCTGCTGAATTATGTTTTGTACGGGTGGATTCCTCTCGTGCCCCAGTAAGTCCTCCCTGGCTGTGAACAGGGACATTGCAGCTGGATCAAAGGAACATCTGCAGGGACGGAGCATTCACCACGTCTCTGGGCAGCCTGTTCTACTGCCTCCCTAACCTTATTGTAAAAAAAACCATCTTCCTTATATTCAGTCTAAATCTCTCATTTTAGTTTGTAGTCATTTCCTTTTGTCCTGTCACAAAAGACCCGACTAAAGAGTCTGTCCCCTTCCTTCTTACAGCCTCCCATTGGATACTGAAAGGCCACTTTTAGGTCTGCTTGGACCCGTCTCTTTTCCAGGCTGTACAGCCAGTCCTTACAGGGGTGGTGTTCCATATAGGAGAAAACTCTTGTAAACAAATGGATTTTTAAATACGCACATAAATATCTGAACTCTCCTCAGGCCCAGCAATGGATGATGAAACCTACCCTTCTAAAACAATTACGTTCTTACTTCTATTAAGTCCTTTATTCATAGAAAATGAATGGATCTTTTGCATACCATGAACAGAAACATTCCAAAATAATAGCATATGTGCTGAGAAAATTAGCTTCATTAACAGTCAGATTCTTTCCCATCCATTGTTTCCATATTCAGTTTTAGTACTCCTCCAGAACTATCTAAACAGGACTTACAAGATGTGTTAAGTATAGCAGCTATTGAAACATAAAATCACCACTTAATTCTAACTTTTGATTTTAAGCTTCTGTGCCAAGAATAACTTTATAGTACCTTGAATAATGCTAATGTCTGTGATATTTTATGAGTGGAACTGCAAACCTCAAAACCCTTGATGTTTGATTTTATTTTAGAAAATCATATTACGGAGCATACAGCTGAGAGTTACATGTTGCAATGGCAGCGAGGACATATATCAAACTACCAGTATCTGCTTCATCTCAATAATCTAGCTGATAGGAGCTGCAATGATCTCTCCCAGTATCCTGTATTTCCCTGGATCATAGCAGACTACTCTAGTGCAGAATTAGGTATGTGTATAAGAGACGACACGTTAGTGCATCATGCTTGGCAGCTTGGGGGGAGGCATCAGGAACGTGTTATGCTGCATGATGTTCCACGTGTAGCAGGATGCACCTGGTGTTACTGACCTTGCGTGTTTTCATGCGTTCTTACTCTGGAGTTTGGTGGAAAAAATGCTTCAATTGTTCCACTTTTTCTGTGGGAAACTTGACTTGTCAGAGTGTTTGGCACTTGTCCTGTCACTTTGAAAATTAGTAGTAGTGAACATTCCAAGACTGCCTGTGATTCTAAGAGATGCATAAGAACCACTATAATGGCCTTCCATTGAATGATTTGGATACGTTGAAATGAATAAGATCTAGGCATTCTTGGGCAGGTTTTTAATATTGCAAGTTTAAAAAGAAGCTAACAAGGCTTGTGTCTAAATAGGCTTCTTGTTTAAGGGCCTTTTTTAATGTGTGTTGGAAACTTGTTCTTTAGAGGATTGTGTTCCTCTAAAACCAGCAGAGTATGGGAAGCATCTGCTCAGAAACTGCAGTCTGTTTGGTAGTTTTTAACTGTAGCATGTAGAAAGAAGACAGTACTGGTTAGCAACTGGTAGCATGCATCTTGTGCGTCAGGTGATGTTAGTTGCAATAGCTGTCAATGATGTTTAACTTCTAGTTCTTAAGCAAGAGATTCGAGATGAGTCTACTGGGAAGTAAGGATACAAGTATGTGCTTATGGTAAGAATTTTATTCTCTTGCAGTTGGGGAGAAGAGGAAAGAACTTGGGTGCTTCTGTGGATTTTGTTGTTTTTCTATTGTTAGGGTGTTTTTCAGTTTTTAGTATTGATCAGAACGTATTCCTTTGTGGCGGGAACAACTCATGGTCTGTTTTTTCAGATCTGACAAAACCTGAAACATTCCGTGACCTCAGTAAACCAATTGGTGCCCTGAATAAAGAGAGACTGGAGAGATTATTGGTATGTCTGTCTTGAACTTTATCTATAGTACGCTTTTGGCCTTGTGCGTGTTAGCAATAAAAGCAGCTTTGTCAAGCAACGTTTAAGTATGCAGATCTATCAACAATCTCTTAACCTTATCAGAAACAAACTTGCCTATAAAACTTCACAATTGTTTTCAGGTTAATATTTATCAGCACCAATTTTACAAGTGAAAAATTTCAAATTATTCCAGTCTAGTTTATCTCTCTTAGTACCATTCCTGTGTGTTGTACCTTTAAATGTTCTGCGTAGCTGGTTGGTTGTTTTTTATAGTAGTTATATGACTTGGCAGTTTATAACTGGAAATATGAAGCTTTAAGAGCAAAAGATTAAAAAAAGCATAATGTAAAATATGGCTAAGTAGTAGGAATGCAAAGTATTTCTGTTTTAGAAAAATGCAGAGTTTGAGAGTGCTTCAAAGGGAGGAAATACAGATTCATGGAGATTGGCGTATCATGAAGATTCCACACGCAGATAATAGTGAATAAATTTCTTCCATTTCTCAAAATAAGCAGACATTCTTTTTTATAAGCAGTCAAATATACCATTAGAGTTAGAAGGTCCTCAATTTCTTTGCTTTCAATTCGTCATATAACATAATCTTCTGCCATGGTAAGGTAGCTATTCCCAAATCATTTACAATTCTTAAGATTCTGGAGGGTACAAATATGATCACTATTTCATTTTCAGTAACAGTAAATAAAGATTTCTTCCTAAGATTAGGCTGTTTCCTCAAACTGCTAGCCATCTCATGCTTACTGCACTTATTTAGAGTACAGTAGGTTTTAGGGATAACCTGTGAAAGGTTAAGTCTTGAAGGAATGGGCCAGGTTGAGTTCAATCAATGTGTTCTTCCATAACCTTAGAAAAGTGCACATGAAAGGCAAAAAAGGGAGGGCTGTGTTCAAGCTACTTTGAAGTTATATCACTGCCTTAGCGTGTGGAAAGTAAGAGAATGAGAAAGCTGAAGACCTGATAATTCAGGATGATAAGTTATAAGAACGTTTGTGCGTTACTGATTTACTGACCTGATTAAATCTGCATGCTTATTAGTGCTTAAAATGTGTTTTGTCTTTGGGAAAAAGAAATGTAATGGGTGGCTCTCATCTCTCCCCTTCTTAAATAAATCTATAGAGATGGTGAGTAAAAGCATGAAAGCAAGCAGGAGCACTGATACTAAACAGACCTCTCTTCCTTATGTTGTAGACACGTTATGAGGAAATGCCAGAACCTAAGTTCATGTATGGGAGCCACTATTCATCCCCGGGTTATGTTTTGTTTTATCTTGTTAGAGTTGGTAAGGTTGCTTTTATGTGTTCTCTGTTCAGACATTTGCCTCAGAAGCAGGCAAGGTTTGAAGGAAGATGATGACTTTTTATTTCTCTCTAGCTCCAGAATACATGCTCTGTCTGCAGAATGGAAAGTTTGATCATGCTGACAGAATGTTCAACAGGTTTGTTTACATTTTGTCTGTGTGTAAGTTGTCATTTTAAAATGGGCATCAAGGGAGTGCAAAGCATTAGAAAATGTTAGAAAACATTTTGAAATGTGTAATTGATATGTTGTCTAGTGTTGCAGAAACCTGGAAAAACTGTTTGGATGGCGCAACAGATTTCAAAGAGGTAAATGGCCAGAAAATAACTCAAGTCCAAGCACTTGTGCAGAACTTTTCTCAGATGTCTCCTGTTGATCTTAATTTATTTATATTTTATCTCAGCTATTGACAGCATTTTATGTATCCTTTCATGTTTTGAAGTTTTTTCTCTGTAATTGTGTGATTCCTCTTATGGCTTTCTATCTTTTCATTTGATAGAAGTGTCATTATGAATGTTACAGGGATAAGGGGGAAAATGTACAGTCGTAGGTATTGTGTTCATCTACTGGAGTCTCTCTAGGATTTGGCTGTGTTATAAGGTTAAGGAGGATGGTGCAGGTGATAGAAGGAAGGGATGCCATCTAAAGGGACATGGACAAGCTTGGGAAGTGGGTCTGAGGGAACCTCATGAGATTCAAGGTTATCAAGTGCAAGGTGTTGTGTTTGGGTTAGGGTAATCTTAGATATCTGTGCAAACTTTTGAGAGCAGCTCTGTGAAGAAGGGCTTGAGAATGAATCAGTATTATGTGCTTGCAGCTCAGAAGGCCAGCTGTATCCTGGGCAGCATCAATAGAGAGATGGTCAACAGGGCAAGGGAGGTAACTGTCCTGCTCTGCTATGATCTTGTGAGGCCCTATTTGGGGTGCTGTGTCCAGGCCTGGGTCCCCCAGTACAAGACAGACATGGGTCCAGAGAAGAGCCGTGAAGATATTTGGAAGGCTGGAGCACCCCTCTTTTGAAGAAAGGTTGAGGAAGCCCAGTTTAGGGAAGATCTCGTTGCAGCCTTCCATTATTTAAAGGGAACTTATAAGAAGGAGGGAGGCTGACTTTGTGCACAGTTTAATAGTAGTAGGACAAGGCAGAATGGTTTAAAACTAGGACAGGGAAGATGTGGATATCATGAGGAAATTCTTCAGAGGATGGTGAGGACTGAAACAGATTGCCCAGAGAAGTTGTGATTGCCCCATCCCTGTGGGTGTTCATGGCCAGGTTGGATGGGGCCCTGGGTGATGTGATCTAGTGGCTGGCAGCACTGCTGTCACAGTGGGGGGACTTGGAACTAGATGGGCTCCAAGGTCTCTTTGGACCCAAGTTATTCTATGGTAACAGTATATTTGGGATTTTAAACAATAGACATTTTAACTTGTTTTTTTTTGAGCTTTATAAAATCAATAACTTGTAGAATATGCTGAATGATTAACTGCCAACTGGTGGGTGATGTTAAATGCTTTTAATTGAAGTGATTAATGATAATTAATTTTTAAAAATATATAATGGAAGAAGTAAGAATGGTTAGCTTTGTTGGTCTTTAAATAACTGATCTAAATTCTCAAACTTCTGTCATTCAAGTTGCATTCTAGATTTTTGTTATGAATCTTACCTGATGTCTTAAAAATAAAAAGGCAGCTATACAGTTAGAGATCTGAAGATACTCTTGTTGTTATGAATTCACATGCTACATGTACTATATTAAAAATATATAAGCCCTTGAATTTAGTTTGGATAATTGCCTTGGTGGTGGACAGGATGCCTGATACTTGGAAGTTGAAATTGTAATGCAAGGAAGTTTCTGGTGCTGCTCTTTTGGCGAAGAGGAAAGCTTGGAGGAATTATTATCCAACTTTAGGGCTTAATGTGTGAACTTGAATAACTTTGTTTTTACTGAATGTCTTCTAGTTAAAATGACTGAAGCTAAGCTGACCTCAGAAATTTTTCCTTTCTTATTTTTTTTTCTTTTCTACCAGTTGATTCCGGAATTTTATGAAAATGATTCTAGCTTTCTAGTAAACAGCTTGAAATTGGATTTGGGAAAAAGACAGGGTGGAAAAACCGTTGAAGATGTAGAGCTTCCCCCTTGGGCATCAGGTAGTAGTAGTCCAGCTTTTTGCATTATGAGTGAATTCAGGATTATCATTATTATTTCCTGGAATCATATTTGTCTCAAAAGCTCTCATAGTTACCTCCTGAAGTAATTTTTACTCTTAAGAATTGATACATTCTGTAGTTGTGTTTAATTTTCATGGCAATTTTGAGTTTAGTATGGGGCTTCTGGTTTGGTTCTTTCTGTAAGAACAGGGAGGGGTAATGATAGTAAGTGGGAAATCTTTAATTAACCTGTCTCTTGCCAGGTCCTGATGACTTTCTTCAGAAGAGCCAAGAGGCTTTAGAAAGTCAGTACGTTTCAGAGCATCTTCATGAGTGGATTGACCTCGTATTTGGCTGCAAACAAAAAGGAAGCAAAGCTGTTACAGCTTGCAATGGTAAGCATACATTTCACTGAAGTAACAAAACCAAAACTTTGATGATAAATTGGCTTTGATCTTTTATTGCTGTGCTTTAAATGCTTGATCCTTAAAGGAGATACAGGTTTTCCTTACCTGAAGTAGTACCTTGCTTGAAAAATCTATCGCCTTCATATTTGAAGATGTAAAATCTTACTCAGGGACATGATTTAGGGGAGGGTTGTTAGAGTCAGGGTAGTATGGTTAGGTTGCAGTTGGACTTGATGATCTTTAAGGTCTTTTCCAACCAGACCAATTCCATGCTTCTAAAATGGTAGCTGAGATGATTCTGCAGTGTTGCTGTTATTTACTTACAGTGCAGTACAGCAATGTACTATTCAAGTAGTGTGCCTCAGTTAGGAACGGGAGTTTGTAGGAGCAGTCACACAAACAGGTATTTAACATTCCCTGTGCTGTGATTGTAGTGTGAGAATTTCAATTCAGAAATCCCCCTCCTTCCCCTCCCATTTAAGTAAATTGAGAAGGAAAAGGAGGAGGTAATGGGCTACAGCTGTTTAGGAGCATGAATGGAGGAAAAAGTACGTGGGTAACCAGATTTGTCCTTCTGTAGCACGTGTGCTTTTTATTCTATGTAAGTAAAGGTTAAATGTTTGACATATTGTTTTGATCTTGTAGGTAGCTATTGTAAATTCTTATAAAAGAAGCTGTTGCTCAGTATTTGTTATGTTGATGTGCTGAAGTTCTCTAGACATCATAGTAATATCAATGATCAATCTGTTTAACAGTGTGATATTTAGCCTAACCGTGTTACTGCCTGATAAGGAAACATCTTCTCACTAAAGGAAGATTAGCAGATGCACAGTATAGGAAGAAGATGATTTTGGTTATTCCAGAAACCCTGATTATAAGCAAGAGAAAATTTGAGACAGGCAGGTTTTGTTTTTCTTAAACTTACAATTACTGGGGAAGAATGCATAAGCAATCTTAGTTTTGATAGTCATTGCTTTCTACTTCCAGAGAGAGCTGATGTGATGTGAAAATCCATAGATATGAATATGCTTCCTCATGCACCTTTGAATTGTGATTAGCTGTATTTTGAGCTTGCAGTTACCATATGATTAAGTGTCATGAATGTAAGGTAAAATATGCCAGACTCGGAAAAAAGAAGTGGTATTTATGTTACAGTATCTGTATGTTATTATGCAGATATACTTCTAAAGCAAAACATGCTTTTCTTGATGCAGTGTGATTTTTTTTTTATTATTATTTTTTTTTAATTAATGTAATGAACTGCAAGACCCTCTTGAGTAGATAAGAGAGACAAAAAGGACCATGTCTACAAATGACTTGGTATCAAGAGACAGAGTGTTCATATACTGAGCTCCCAATGTAATTAGCAAAGTTTGCAATCCACTACCACTTTATCAAATGAACTGGAGCATAGATAGGCCTTTATGATCTTTCTTGCTGTATTTTGTTACCTGTCTATAAAATAACCGAAGATCTAGTCACATAGCTATGCATTTTTGGGGAGGTGGGAGGACGTTCTCCTTCATGAAGATTAAATAAGCTGTCCTTCCTTTATGAAGGAGCTGGCTTTAGAAACTGCCTCCGAGTCTCCTAGATTCAAGCCCAGGATAAACATTGTGTTTTTATATTGTACAAATATTTTTTTTTTTCCAGTGTTTCATCCATTAACTTATGAAGGAGGAGTGGATTTAAACAGGTAATTAAGAATTTGAATATTTTTGTAAAAACAGCTAAATGTATCGTCATCACATTCTATGGTGGCTGTAAAAATGGCTGGTGAACTGATACCAGGCTGTCAGTTTTAATAGATGTTCAAAGACCGTTATTTGAACTTTTCTTCATGTTGATTTATCTGATTTATTTTTTTTAATTATTATTATTACTGCTATTTTTAACTGGAAGTCACATTGTCACCATACATAAAGGAAATTGTGAAGCTGTCATATGAATGCCTGTTGTAAATCTGTTCTGTGATGACCATAGTAACTCTATGTGCAGCCTTGTGCTTCCAGGACAGAAACAAAGAGCTTGCCCTAACTAACTGTGTTGCTTCTCTGAAGCATTATGGACCCCAATGAGAAGGTAGCTTTGCTGACGCAAATCTTGGAGTTTGGACAGACACCAAAACAGTTGTTTACAACTCCTCATCCTCAACGGATAATGCCAAAAAGCTCCTCTAGAACATCTAGTCACAGTGTTTCCATAAGTGAATCTCCAGGTGAGTGTATAACAGATAAATTGATGATGTAACTGATTTGTAATTTGGAGGAGTTCTCTATCTTTTCCCACAGGATCTCATTATAGACATCTCCTGGCCACTTGCCCTATAAGCAGAGTCAGAATAAATCCATGAGCTTACCTATTAAAGGAGAAACAGGCAAGATCAGTCTCAAATCTGAAAATACATACATCCCATAGCTGTGATCCTGCACTTTGCTGGTCCAGTTCAGTCTCTGCCTTTGAAGATGTGGGAGGGCTGTGTTCCCTGGCCTTTTGTGACAGTTCAGAATCAAACTGATACGATAGCAGTTTCTTTGACTGTCTCTGTAGAGACTCTAAATAATGTAGAGATTCATTCTGTTCTTGAACAGAACTGTCTTTATGGCAGTAAGCTTGAACTGAGAATTTAACCTGAGCATCTGGATATGAACATGTGAGACTGGGGACTTTTTCCCCTCTACTGTTACTTGTGAAACTGCAGAGAAATTACTTTGTCCCTACAGTATATATTGAAAAAAAAGTTGGTGGAATAACTTCAAGAAAAGGATATGTAATGGCAGTACATGTTTCTCTACAATGTCAAACTTTGCCCATTTTTCTGAAACTAAGGTTCTGTGGCCCTCATTATATGAACAGTGGTCTACTGTAAACTGGACTGAATCTCCAGGCTGTCTATTGAATGGGGAGACATTCCGTCTCTTGGTCAATTGTCCTTGATTTGCTGACCTTTTGATGGCTTTCATTTTTACATAGAGAAGCAAAGATGGTTACTACTTGGTAACCTGCAACTATACCAGTTGTGTATGGCTGTAATAATGGCCATGCATCTTAAATGGTTCTGGTAGTAGGCCACATAATTCCTGTCAGATTTAGGCTTTTTGTGATAATTTATATTTAGTGTGTCCACTTCTTTATCCCTTAACTTCTGAGACGCTGCAGAAAATAAACTTACGACATTCTTAATCGAATGTATAAGAATAATAGGTAGGTGGCTTTGATTGCACTTTTCCATTTGGGAAACTCTTGACGTTTCAGTGTCTACAGTAACCAAAAATTTATATTCCTGGAGCTCTGCATGATTTCTGTACTTTGTGTTTATGTTTGTACCTTCACCTACTTCTTGAAGTTTATCTTTCTGATTTCTGTCCATAGTAAAATTCTGTTGTGGCATTTTATTGCAGTATCTCCAAATGAAGAATCATTTGAAGATTTGACAGAAGAAAGCATTACACTCGCTTGGAACAATATTTCTAAACTAAGACAAGATGAACAATATAAAATTCACAAAGAGTAGGTACTGCTCTTCACTCTTCAGTCACAGTTGTTCCATTTAACTGGGGATAGGAGTATCTGCGAGTCTATTTGAATGATGGGTTAAGGCTTATGGTAATTTTTCTCTTTTTTTCTTTTTTGAGATAGCTGGGTTGGTTTTGTTTGTTTGTTTTTAGCCTATGATGAATTACCAATCTAGAAAAGGCAGTTATGAGCTTAATTTTATTCCTTAGACAGATCTAAAGCAAGTTCATTCACATTTTAGAAGCAGACATTAATACCCATTTGCCAAAACTGTGATAGCAGCAGCTAGATAAGCATTTCCACTTATTTCTTCATACCATTTAATTTGAAAGCTTAAGCCAATTGAAAGTTCAGCAACTGCACAACCCAGAGCTGCCTCCTTACGAGGAGTCTGTAATGTCTCCAGCCGTGGGCAGTAAGGTAATCCAGGCAGCACACTGGTGTTCTGATGGGTTCCTAGGGAGCCGCGCACCAAGCAGCCCAACTTCAGGTGAACTTTGGCAAAGCCCAGCTGATCCCACACTGGGAAGATTGAATGGGAAGCCATTAATCCTTTCACGTGGGCATGTCCTTTCCAGCGAGGTTGAAGTTCTTGCAGAACAATATAGGGAACCTGTACTGATGATAGTGAGGTATATTTGAGTATGTGGGCATGTTGCTCACCACTGCAGTATTTTTAATCTCGTTGAATATCTTAACTTTTTAAATAGAAATCAAATAACAGGTTTCAGCAGTATTTAATTTGCAGTATTGTGGGTAAGTTTCAAGACTTAGGAAATCACTAATGAGCCTATTTGTATTAACAGGGCAATTACTGGAATAGCAGTCACCTGCAATGGGTCTTCTGTTTTCACCACATCCCAAGGTGAGTATTATTGCAGTTATTTCCTCAAACCTGCAGTGCAAATACTTTGATATGAACTTATAACACCAAGTGATGCTTTGTGAACAAAGCAGCGCGCAACTTTCAAACGTGAAGATTAAATCCCTAGAATACCTTCACTGGAAGCAAAATTGAGGCAGTGTTCAAGGGTATTTCTGCCAGAATCACTGAGTTCTCGTTTGTTTGGGTTTTTAAAGGAACATGGTCCCAATGTTCTGCCAAATGCAAGATACTCATTTTCACTTTCTGCCCTATTGCTTCTTACAAATACTGAAGTTTTCAAACAAAATGTCAGTACTTCTGTTTGCTTTTGGTTTTTGACGTTTCCAAGACACCTATTATAGAAATTAATGAAGCCAAATAGATAATTTCCTGTAATTAAATAGCTGAAGTATGAAATTTTTTTATTTTATATTTTTTAAGTTATAGATGTCCCTGGATTTCGATGTTGTCCACATGTGGGCTTGTGAAGGTGTTAATTTATCTCCTTAGATTATTAATTCAAAGACTTGCCTGATTTTTATAAAAAAAACATGCCTGATTTTTATAACTAAATATATGAATCTTCAAACAGATACAAAATTTTTATCTTCTGTAATATAAACCAGTCATTTTACATGTAGTATTGTTCTTTATACTCAGACTCAACTCTGAAGATGTTTTCCAAAGAATCCAAAACACTCCAAAGAAGTGTGTCCTTTTCAAACATGGTAAGTTGCTGTCAAAATAAAAACATCATTAGGAATCTTTTGAAAGCCACTCATAGAAATGTCTTTTGGTGTAGCTCAGTGTGTTCTTCTCCTCAGTTATATGATATGTGGATAATTTAGCAGAATGAAGTGAGATTGCTTTTCAGGTCTCCAGGGGGAGAACACATTCTTTGAACGCAGCAAGGGAGCATTAAATGTTTCTCTTCTGTGTTAATAATGTTCTGAGTTTTCTGCTATATAGAGAAGGTCTTGTGGTAGACTAAGATACACTGGCATGAGCAGACAGGTCTTTCCAAACAACTTTGAATTGTTGTTCAAGCCCAGAAACAAAGCTTGAATTGTACCCATGTTCAAGTCATACTCAAAGTGTTTGGAGTCTGTCAGTCAGTCAGCTGAAGAATGCAAAGGACAGGGAGTGGAATCTTAGCTGTGTGAATTTTAGCAGTCCTTGCTTCATGAGCAATAATCTCAGCAACCTCTGAACAACATGCTTCTCAAACAGAACTTTGAAAGGGATTCTGTGTTTTATTTTCTGTGCTTGAGCGCTGGGGCCTGAGCTGGGTCACTTTCTGAGTCATTTACTGAGACGATAGGATGCATTAACACTCCTCTGTACCCTCCTCTCTAGGGGAAAGGGAAAGCAGATATGTTGCCCAGATAGATGCCATAGTATACTCTAGCACATCCCCAAAGAAGCTGTAAGATCAAGACACTGCTGCCTGCTGTGGTATGCTCCTCTTGATGCTGTAAAAAGGGAGCCCTTCACTTAATCCTAGTCCAAGTTAGTCACTAGTGAGGAGGTTGTGTACCCTTCTGTTCTCTTCCTCTTCACTCTCTCCTGCCCCGTTGGTAGTTTCAGTGTTGATGTGTTGCAGCAAGGCCAGAAGCTATAATCTCTTTGCATTCCACCTGCCTGCTAGAATGTTTTTAGGAACAGATTACTGTTCATTTTTCTGATGATACTTACAGAAGTTGTTACTGTTGTGGTGGTTTTTTTGTTGTTTTTTTTTTTTTTTGTTACTGAGAATAATAGAAATTACATGGCTACATCCATTGCTTTAAAGAGCAGAGCAGAGTTGCTGTCATGGGGGGGGGCGAGGGGAAAACATGAAAGAAAACCTGTTTTTTCAGGTTTCTGTTTTCATATAGAATTGACATAACTTGAAAGATGAAAAGCTGGCTCGGTTTCTCCTGAGTGTGGAATCACATGCAACATACATGAAGTGCTTGAAAAAAGGAGATCCATTGGCTGTGCCTGTGTTTCCCAACTTTGGAGTTGACTTTGTATTTACTGGAGTTTTTCGTAAGGTTTTTCTTAATTAACATTCATGCAACACCGAAATGCTGCACACAGAAAAGATTACTATGCTCCTTGTTCTCCAGAACCACGTTCATGTATTTCTCTTTGAGGGTCAGAAATAGAACACTGCTTTGTTTTTCCTTTTCTTCTACAGGCTTTGTCATCTTGTATCATCTTGCCAGGAGATACCACTGTCATAAGTTCTTCATGGGACAATAATATGTGAGTATTTACTTCCTGCTAACTCTGCTGAATTATATTGAGTACCTTGGTAGTTATAATTATCGCTATAGATACAGAAGATCACTGATAAAATGCAGTATCTGTACTTCTACATTTGTTTTTTGTTTTTTTAGTCTGGTTCCTGTTAAAAACTGTAGAAAAAAAAGTTATTTTCATCAATTCAGAGAAAACTGTTTATGTTACCTGAAGCTGTAACACTTTCATGATCTCTTCCCGTTAGATATTTTTATTCAATTGCATTTGGAAGACGGCAGGACATCTTAATGGGACACGATGATGCTGTCAGCAAGATTTGTTGGCGAGAAGGGTGTTTATATTCTGCATCTTGGGATTCCACTGTAAAGGTTTGTAGACAAGTTTATAATACTTCAGTAGCTATTTATTGCTAGCAGTTAATATTTGGCCAGAGGCATGCATTGGAGTGGATGTGGCTGTTATTCTAGTAATAAATACATGAATAATTTTATATAATATTTATAAGTCACTACAAATAGAATAAGTACAAGTAGTTTATCTTTTGTTAGCCTTGCCTCAACTGTGTTTCAAAGCTGGAGTGTTACTTTAATAAAAATAATCTGGAAGTTAGAGATGGGAAAGAATTTCCCAAAGCCTTGTGGTAAGTACCCATTCATTGGTGTGATATACAGCACCTTGGTAACCTACTGGGAATCAGCACAGTCATGTTTAAGGTGTTGCTCTGCTTAATGTAAACAGTTTAAGGTGCCAGTTGCTGTTTTGCCACACAGATGAGGCCTGCAGTTACACAAGCAGCACTTGAAATGTGAGCATTAAGCAATGGAGGAACTCATCCAATTATACTAATGCTGCTTTGAACAAACTTTAATGTCTGTGTTGTAGGTGTGGAAATGCGTACCTGGAGAGACATCGAGCAATAAAAGAAACTGTTTTGAATTGCTTGCAGAGTTAGAGCACGATGTTAGTGTAAGTATGCTGACAGAGATGCAGTACCAGATTTGAGATTGTATCACGTGATCTCAACTCTCAGTTTGACAAACAACTAAAGTATGAGGATTGTCTGGGGTGATGTTTCCTTTTGCTGTGCGTTTTTTCTCTTATGGGGTTTGGGTGTTTCTGGGGCGGTGAGTTGCTTTGTCTCATTGGCTTTTGTTGGCATAACTTTGCCTAAGATGAGCGTGCTGCTCTCCAGCATCCCCTGCTTCCTTTGCTGACAAGTCTGCTCTTAAGGAAGAAAGCGACAGTAGGAAGAGTTCTGCTTTGTGGTTTTTGTTTTGTTTACTTGTTCATTTATTCTTATTTGCTTTGGTCAGCTTGTTTGCACAAAGTTCAAGGTTGGGGGAGGTGGACAGCAGAGAGGGAGTTGGTTTTTGTTAGTTTCCTTTGCTTTTTGAAAACTCAAGAGTGAGGATTTTTTTTTCAGTATTTTCATTGTTACTGCTTCCTAATGAAACTCTTCCAAAGGCAAACAAATAAAAAGAATTGAGTTACTGCTGTTTTGGTTTTTTTTAAGCATTCTCCAAAACACATTGCTGAATTTCACAGTAAATGTGTAATCACACTCTGTGCAGTTAAACACATGTAACTCTGCACTATTTCTTATAGCATCTAATGTTACTCTTGTAACAATGAAGAATGGTGTCCAAGGGTATTTTTAAAAGAAATTTCTAGCCATTGGTTCTTTCTGATAAAGGGTAAAATTTTGCGTTTAGGTTGAGAATATGAATACTAAAAGTAGTAGGAAATGTCACTTTGTGATTCCTCTTCTACAAAGAAGTACTTTAAAATATGTTTTTCAGATATTTTAAAGGGAGCTGCCTTTTACATTTTCTTGGTAATAACTGTGCTTAAAAATGTTGCAGAATTAAATTCAAAATCCGTTGACAATAAAATGGCATCTGAACGGCTGATGGACTTTTTTGTGTATATTTAAAACTTGTTTTGAGACAGCTTACTTGGAAGAACAGGAAAATCATGGGATGTTTAACTTCCTAGGTAAATACGATCGACCTTACTGCTTCAAACACTATACTAGCATCTGGAACCAAAGAGGGTACCATTAGTGTTTGGGATGTTACCACAGCAACAGCGTTACACCAGTTGCCTTGTCATTCTGGTACTGTGTTTGATGCTGCTTTTAGTCCCGGTATGTTGGATTTCAGTTTTAACATATAAGTCTGGGAGTTTCCTGATTACATGTAATGCACTGTGTTATTGAAATTACTAGTCTAAGGGGAATGGTGAGATCTACCAGAAGGTATCCTTGCCTGCAGCAGGGTAATTGGAACTAGATAATCTTTAAAGGTCCCTTCCAATTCAGTCATTCTGATTCTATGACATGCTTCTCTGCTTTAAAGAAATCTTTAATTGATGCAAAGCCATAACAACCTGTAAACCAGTAGTCTAGATTGTAGACCAGTGTTTATCATTGTATGCTTGCAGACAATGTAAAGTACATTTTCTCTAAATAAGTAGGTCAGGCCTATCACAGCCAACATGCCATACTGCAGACTGTGATGATAACTGGGACTGTGTATCTAAACATGCTCCTTTTGTTTGTTGTCATGGTTTGCTCTCTTGTGTAGATGGCAGACATCTACTCAGTGCAGGAGAAGACTGTTGTTTTAAGGTAATAGATGTACAGACTGGAATGCTTATATCTTCTGTGACTGCTGATGAGCCACAAAGGTAATCCTGAGAACATCCATATGGATTATGAAGCTGCATGGCCAGCTTAGTTAAATGCAGATGCTCAATGCATTTCTTTTTGCCATAGCAAAAAGAAAAGTGTGATAACTTTTGTGTGATAATTGAAGGTACTGGATTTAACAAAATACTTAATTTGCACTTAAGTGCAAAGGCTTTTGCGTGCTTTCCAGGCAAGCTTTTCAGAAAGGGATAAAAGAAACAACTGTTTAAGGAAGTAATTCTATTATTTATACAAGTTAAAGATGGTGTTTAAGAAGAGCTGCTTAGCTGTAGCACCAACCGGCTCTTCCAGAACTGATGTTTTTAGCAAGCGGCCAGTTCTCTTACTTGCATCACTTGTCAATAACCTTTATTTTCCAAAGCTCCTTTTTTGTGTAAGCTAAGAAGAGATTGGCTTTTGAAAGATAAAGAGCAGTCAGTTAATACTTCTATTTTTTTTTTTTTTTTTCACCAACTAAAATGTATACAATGCTGTGTCATGTAAACAAACGAAGATTGAAGTAGGAAACTGGCAGCAGCCTTTCCAATTTGTTGTGTCTTAGTCTGAAATTGCTCAGCTTGTATACAGAAGTTTAGTGTACTAATGAACAGTTACTTTGCAGGTGCTTCAGATGGGATGGAAATACTGTCTTGTCAGGAAGTCAGTCTGGTGAATTACTGACTTGGGACCTCCTTAATGGAAAAGTTACTGAAAGAATCAAAGGACATGCAGGTATGCCTGAGCTGTTCTTGTTCTCAAATTACCTGGAAGCTTCCTATTTTCTGTCTGTGTTAATATTGACCAATTTTGAGAATCATTTGCTCCACTCGGTGGCTCATGATATTACACGTACCTCTTTCTTCTGTCCCAGGTAGCACCTGAACCTCCTAGGAAGTATAAACAGCAATACTCTTCCAGTGTTATTGCAAGAATGAAGAGAGGCAGATGCATTGGTGTTTTCTAATTAGCAAAGTTAATTGTTAGACTCACAGCCTAGACAGACTGTGATCAAGTTATTTTGGATGGGTGTTTGTAGACATCTCATATGTACCTGCCTTGTCTTCTAAACTGCAAGAAGGGAGGAATAACTTAGTTTTACTTAGTTTGCTTTTATGGCTGCTTTCATGAATAGTTATTTCAAACTTCCCCCTAATGGTAACTGAAGCTCTGGAATTTGAGCTGTACAGAGATCAGTCTGTAGCCAGGAGAATCTTTAAATTGAGCTGCTAGGGGCTACATGCTTACAATACAAAAAGCCCAAAGGGCAAAGTGAAAAACTTTCTAGACAAGCCTGTCCCCTTTCCCAGTGAATCCTTATGCTACTGTGCTCTATATTGTACATGTCAACTTACAGTTCGCCTCTTCTTCCCCACGTGGCTGAGGCAGTGTACCAAGAGGTCACAAAGGTTAACAGGATACAAGGTGGCTCTTCTTACAGTACTGCATGTACTGTCAGTGTAATGCAAGATACTGATTGATGATCCTAAACTGCCTTAAATACGTTCCATTCTCTTGACTTGTGTCCGGTTTGATTTCTTTTCTTTCTTTTCCTCCAGGTGCTGTAACCTCCATGTGGATGAATGAACAGTGCAACAGTGTTATTACTGGAGGGGAAGACAAACAAATTATATTCTGGAAACTGCAATACTAAGTGCCTTTCCCTCCAGCTGTTTAAATGAACTCTTTCATTTTAAACCAAACCTTTTAAAGGAACTTAACTGTGTGCAATGATGGCTACTGAAGTTCAACCAGAAAAGAAGCTTTGCTCAACCACAACTTTCTGGTGACTTCACTGAGAGCTCTTAACTTCAATAATGTATGTATTGGGTTTTCATAAACTACCAAAAATGCTTTGTCTAATAATGTGAGATAACATTAAAGACCTATTTTTCTGTAACTGAAGAGCTCCTAACTGGTAGTTACTGTTGTAGTGTGTTGTCTGAACCATTTCTAAAGAAGCAGCAGTTGCATTCTTTAAAAGATTTAAGATACTTGCAACATGACAATGGATGTACATCTCCCTTCCTACCAACGATGCATATGATGGTAAACACTGCTTTGAACACTTACAGCTTAGGCAGTAAGTTGGTCTGAGCAGGGGTCAGTCTGCTTTACTATGTAGTCTCCAACTGTAGCTACCTGCAAAGGCAGAGGTGTTTTTTTTTTTCCTATTATTGAACAAACAACACACTGAAAACTACAGCCTTCACACATCAGTCTGAAAGGGAACCATGTATCAGTCTTTCCCCTAATACTAATATCTTGTAATTTCTTTTTAATGCCTTGTATCTGTTCTGTTACTTTGTCTTCCTCACCTTGTTTTATTTGGCCTTCTCAGCTTCCTTCAGCTCTAGTACAGCATTCAAGTTTCATACCAAAGATTCTTGAGTACAGGTATAACTTGGGGGTTTACTTGAGCCCTTATTACTGCAACCCAGGGGTAAAGTGGTGCTGTACTGGGCTTATTTTTCTCTGTAGGACTTCAGAATACACTTCCCTGCAAGGGGCTACTCTGAGGTTAAAGACTTCGAATACCAGCCCTTGGGGCATATTACAGTAACAGCCACCTGTGGTTCTGTTCCCTCACGAGGAATATTTCTTTATTGCTGATGTTAAACTGCCTTGTCAGTGTGTTCAGGATGCATCCCTGGAATTTCCATCACTCCTTTGAGTCTGTTTCTAGCCATACTGCCTGGGTTTCAAAGGTTTCAGGGGGCAGCTGTTTCCTTGGAATTAATAATTATTACAATTGTTTTATGATTAATTTCCTCCTTTTGTATTACAACATAATTTAAGCTTGCTTCAGCTGCATGAAGCTTTTGCTACATGTGCCTTCAGTATATAACTGATAAGCCATATACTGTACCTGCTGTTTCCAGATTTGCTTAACCTTGCCTTAAAATGTTTGGCTGTTGCTTGCTGTTTTTTCATTTTATTTCCTCAATACAGCTACATGTAGCCAAAAAGGCACAGAAACCCAAATTCTACAAAGCACTGAGCAAGGTCACAGTGAATTGCAGAGCCTGTTAAAAGCTTTGCTTCAGTTGTGCCTGTCTTTGCTCGTTTACCTCCACTCTCTCTCTTCCCTGGCTCACTGGGTTTTCTGCACCCAGCTCTTGCTGGAGTTTAAAACTTTTGTAACTTGTTTCACAAGGTAACAATGCTCTTCTACTCCCTTCCTGCTACTCTGCAGTTGTGCAGCTTAGAGTTGCACTCCGGCAGGCCTTGAGAAGCACAAAAGCACTTGACTACTACTAGCCTCCCACTTTTCACGCCCTTCTCTTATTCAAGCTTTGGACACAGGCCCCCTCCTTTGTCCCTAAAGGGCCCTCTACACAGCATATTAAGGGTTTTTCTGCAGATCTCCAGGGCTGCTGTTATAATTTGTTTTCATCTGTCTAAAGAGACATAAAGGAGCAGATGTATTCACTTACACACCATCTTAGGTTCCGGGGCTTTCTTAGGATCACTGCTAGAAGTCACAGGTCCTACCCCCATAAGGCTGAATCATAACACACTGTGTGACATCATTAATCAGTGCCACTAAGAGCTCACCCCAGTCACAGTCAGCCTGATCATTACAAACTGAACAATTCAATTAAAGAGGCTCCAGAATGCATTTCACTGCCACTGCAGTAGCATATTAGCATCGCTTCTGCAAATTGGAAAACCCACAGCTACCTGTGTGTGCTGATACAGTGACCCCATAGCCTGTAGCTATCCACTGTCTGCTTTCTTCAAGTGTTTTGCATTCCCCTTTTGAAATATTCCCTTCAGTTAAATGAACAAGCAAGCAAATAAGGTACCTAAAGGACTAATGTTTACACAATTAGTGCCTGCAACAGAGCCATGACAAGGGAAACAAATTGCTAAACTTGGCATTTAACTTCAGAACACTTAAAGACTCAGCTGAACCCATGCCTATGACCTAAACTTGCAGGTCACACCACCCATCAGCTGGTGTCCCCACCGAGTTTGGCACCTGCCACAGAGCAGGATGGATTGGAAAGGAAGGGGAAAAGACAGATTCATGTTGGTTGTCTTATTAAGGGAAAAATTAAAAAAATTAGTAAAGACAATCACCACTACTTACTAGCAGACCAAAGCCCAGGTATCTCCAAGCAGCAGTTCAGGAAGCATTTCTTCCCCTTGCCTAGTTTTATTGCTAAGCATGATGTTAGTGCAGGATACCTCTTTGCTCAATTCAGGTCAGCAATCCCATTCTCATCCCTTCAAGCCTCTTGCCCACCCCCCACCTACTGCACAAACACAGAGTGAAGAAACAAAAGGCTTCAGTGCACTGCAGGCAGTGCTTAGCAAACACACACAGGCTATCAGCACCCAACACAAATCTAAACCCCAGTGTACCTGGAAGCACTTCAGAGAAAGTTAACTCCAGCCCCAGAATACTTAGTGAGCTGCACACAACTGGAACTACACAATTAGTACTGCTGATGAATAGGAACTTCTATTCTACATGTTAAACAGAAGGTAGAAAATAAGTATGTGTTGGCAAAACATGCGGGATCTGTATTTTTAATATATTTCAACTTCATTGGCAGTAAAGTTTTGTAATGTCTTCCTAACCAAGCTTATTTCCTAGCTTGTCTTCGCTTCCAACTGAAACTGGCCTTAATGAATGAAGCCCATCTTAGCTGGTCTCATTAAGCACACACACCCCATCTAAAGTTTCAGTTGTTTATTGTCATTACTTCTGAATCCTTAAGAACTTGGTTAAGGCGAGAGATAAGCATATTAGTTACAATTTGTATAACAAGTAATAAAAAGATTTGATTATCTGTACACTACTTTTCATTATACTTAGTGAGGGATGCCTTCAGCTATATTCAGCCTACCTGGCATTCTTGTGTAAACAGTATTTACTAAAACAAAGAACATAAGCTACTACTAGCCATACTTCTAACGTGCTATATCAAATCTACTCTTGCAAACAGAAAGCAGTAAAAATATGTTTTTTTCTTAAATGTACAAAGCACAGCATTGCCCTAGTTAACAACACTTAACTTTGCAAGTTACATCTGGTTCCTTCGGTTGCATGGCTTATCATAGTAGTAAACTAAGGAAGAGACCTATGAAAAGAAGTCCTAACATAACTGGAATTTCACATTTGTCAAGCATATAAGGCTACAAGTTTTACAGTTTGCGAATAAACGAGATATGTTGAACTGCAACATTCCCAGCCATGACAGATGCAAGTGCTTGACACAGCATAACTTCTCCTGGCCTCCAGAAAGGCTCATGTGCAGAAGAAAGAAATCACTGAGTATAATAGGCCAAGTCGAGCAGAACTCTCATTATACATGTACACACACATGCATGAGGGAAGTTTAGACTTCAGGAACAGAGTGATCCATGAGGCTTTTCATGATGCTTGTTGCCATCCTAAAGAAAAGGAGAAGGTGCTCAGTTGTGCAAGACAGATGCAGAATGATTGTTGTATCTTTGTCATTGCTATCTCTTTAATTAAAAATACTGGCCTCCCACGCCACTAGAAACAGTATTTTAGTTCTAAGGTAACAAAGACTTGTACTTCAAGGCACTTAGTCTAACTGTGCTTAGAAGAGGGTTTTGGAAGTAAAGAAAAAGCAAAGGAGCACCACTGCCATAGGAACAGCTTGAAAATAGAACCAAAACACACCCCAGTCTGATGCAAGTCATCGTATCATGCATGTTTTCAGACTTCCCATCTTAACCAGACTTTCTGTCAAGTTTGTTCTCATGGCAAGCCCGAGTTACATTTTACTTAGCCTGCAAAAGCTAGCAGTTCTCAATTTGAGTATAATTGACACTGGCTGCTTTGTTTGGTTGTTACCTACCTCTTTATTATATACTCATAAATACTTGAAGGCATGATGGTAATTGTCACTACATTTCCAGCTGTTGCCAAGATGTCTGCAATCTGAGGGTCCTGTTATTGAACAAGAAATTGTATGAGCAACATCACTCAAGATGACTAATAAAGCAGAGTTCAGGAGCTCCTTCTGGACACGTTCAGAGATACATGGCTCCTTACTTCAGGGTTTTAACCTCCAGGCCTAATCACTAACACACTGTGCCAATCCATAAGCATCTGTGGAGTTATGCTTTACAGGAACTGCCTGGGGAAGGGATACAGGCACCCTACTACAACTTGATACAGGTTGACAGAGAACATTCCTTACATTTTGCCAGTAAAGATTAAAAACAGAAGGCCAAGTGTAACAGGTAGATGCAGAGAAGATGGAGTTTCCCCATTAGCAGATAATAAGCAGCAAAGACAGCTTAAAGCAGGTGTTTCCCATCATGTTATGGATCAAGTTACCATCATGTTTTATAAACATTCACTATATCATTTTTCCCTCGCAAAAGAGAGTTACTGCACAGCAAAATACGTGCCCCCTACATCAGCCATGCAGTACTTATCTTACCTTCAGTCCAATTACATTCTGGCCGTTAATTTCACAGATGTTGTGCTCAGTAAGAAGTCCATTCCTTGCAGCAGAGCTGTCTTTCACTATTGAGGTTATTTTCCCATTCTTGAATATGAAACCAACATGCCCTGTGCTGTCCTTATGCATAGTAATAATACGCTCAAAAGGCCTGCAGGAAATAAAGGAATTATAAAATGTAAAAACACATTTTCAGTTTGCTAAACCACAGGAAGAACTACACACTATTTCAGTTCCTGCGACTCACCAGAAGTTCATATAACTGAAGTATGGCTCCTTAGAATATGATGAAAAGCAACAGGGTTTAGCTTCATTTTGTAAATAACTGCTATTTTAATCTCTACCTTCCACAGCAGAGTCACATTCCACATGTAAGACTGTTTCTAAACCTGTTATGTTCTCCCTTTTCTATAGATATTCCTCCCTCTAAATTAAAAATAAACCACACACATCGAAACAACCA